GAATCATCCCATTTACTATGATTTAAAGTCAAATTTAAATTTGCATTTTCAGTAATTTCAAGAAGGTTCTTCACACAGTATGTCAACACATTGCAGTGTTTTCCTTTTCCTTGAGAGATAACATTATTTATTGTCAAGAATGCGCTTTATTAATTCTATGCTGTGACTAAGAGCTATATCCACTCTAGGACACATATTAATGACCCATTTATATATTGCTCAGATGTTTAAAATTACTCAGCCTAATGTTTCATGCCTTTCTGCACACCTGAGGTAATACATATCCCTGAGTGCTTTCTTGCTTAGTTACAGCACTCTCTACTAAGGAAAACTGGGACTTGATTGCATCCATACATTAATCACAGTGTATGTTTACATAATATGACTTCACTTAATAGCGTAATGATGAAGAAGCTGGATGTACATAACTGTCTGGCTGAATGCCTGACTTAGGAAAAAAGGAAGGCTTTCTACAAACATCTTTAGATCTCCACAGAGGGCCAAAGAAATCACAGAAATGCTGGAGATATTTTTTTTAGATTGTACAATGTCTTTCTCCGTAACATATGGGAATGCCTTGCTGGATCACATATACATATCTCAGAGAGTGTTTTTTGTTAATCTCCTAAGTAGCAAATAATTTCTGCCTTTAATGAATTACATTAGAAGGTGAAGTGCTTAGTGCAGGAACTCATGTAAAAGCACAATTAATCAACCCGAGGTTTTTGGCTCCAGTAGGCAGCTCCTGTATGTTACTTCAGAGGGCTTCTTCCTTCCATTTAAGCTTTCTTTTGTTCTCTGTCTGCAGGACTTCACAATGATTCAACTATTATTTTTTTTTTTATCCATGCATTTATTTATTTATAATTTTTGTCAGGGATATGCCCTCTTGTTATTCAGGCGTTTAGTGCTTCTGAAGGAAATTTGCAGCTGAATTACCGTCACTCAGTCAAGAATGACTTCAGCTATATTTCAAGGTGTTCTTTTTGCGTATCTACAATTTTCATGTTCTTATTGGGATAAGGAAGTAGAATCATTTACACAGAATTCAGTTGTGAGATGCACAAGCATATTGTGACAGATGGAAAAATATTTTTAAGTGCGAAACTTCAGAAACTGTTACAGTGGATGGACCAGACCTGGAAAAATAAAAAAGAACTGATCTGTCAGTGTTGTATTTTTGAGATCCAGGTAGCTATTGGTATGACTAACACAAAGCCTCAGACATGAAACAAGACTAGAGAAATCTCACTTTTCCTTTAATATTAGTGCATCTCCTGGGTGACACTATTTGAGAAAGAGCTACAAGAAAGATTAAAATGAGAAAACGCCATCCTTATACAGAGAAATATCTGGTCTTTCCTGGTGCAAGAGCTGTTTTCAACTCATATACCACATAGCTGATGAGCAATGTTCAGTAAACCAGTAAACCAGTATATACATAGACTGTTTTACTGCTCTGTGTAGTGGTGTAAAATAAGGGTTCCTGAAAAACTTCCAGTGAAGCATCGAATATTGCTAAGGATAAATAAATCAATCAGTTGCATCTCTAAGCTTCAAGAGAAAATGACTTCTAAAGGTGACAGCTGTTCGGGGGAGTGCCCTGGAGGAAACAACTAAAGTTAAAATCGACTCTGAGACTAAGACATGTACACATCAACAAAACACGCAGTGAGATAAGAAGGCTCGGTGAACAACAAAGTAGTCAGGTGGTGTATATTTTTAATGTAGCCTATACCTCTTGGATTTGGCAGGCAGAGTGTTGTTCTGTAGAGCAATAGCAGCTGATTCACACTAAACCATGAGAACACTGGAGTACAGGTAAGCCAGTTTCACCAGGGCTTTGCCCATTTTGCCTCTCTTAGCACTGTTAACCAACACCAACTGCCACCGCTGCCATTCTTTTGGCCCTTCTTGAAAGATGAGAGATACTTAGTAGAGACAATCTGCCTTGATGCTGACCTCACTTTAAATTTTGCTTTTTCTTGCCTGTTTCAGAGAAAATATCTAAACCCCTATGATCCGTTACCTTTAAAATGCTTAGTGATAACAAAATGTTCCTGTCTTGAGGCAGTTTCACTGATCATGCCTCCAAGAGTACTGGGAGCTAAACCAGTCAGATTTGCTGCAGGCAGTCCAAGAAACAGGGCTCAATGTTCTGATAATCAGTGGCAGTGGTTCAGGCAGACAAAGAGCACACATACACGTTTGTGCCTTGGAATAGTTGCTTTTGAGAGAACGCTACAGTCAAATCAAGATGTAGCATCTCAGTAGAAGCAAGCTTTCTCTTTGAATTACAGCTGAATAATATAAATGCTCAGATATTTGGTAAGGGAAAAAAAGTGAAAAAAAAAAAAAAAGCAAGTATGTGGACTGATGTGTTATTTTGGTTTGATATTTTTTTACCTTTCCCAAAATGCATCGTAAGCATAGATATTTTAGACACAGATGAGTTCAAACACTTCCTATGATTCCTTCAAGGTAACAGATGTTAAAACTTCCAAATTTTACTAGGGTTAAACTCCCTTCTTATGAAAGGTTTTATGCGGATGTCCTTGGGTGAGGGGTAAAGAAACAAAAAAATCTGCAACCTGTACATGAAGTAAGCATGCTGTACAGCCTCTTGGTGACCGTAATTACATCCTTGAACTACTTAGAGCTTCCCAGTCCCATGTTCTACAAAAACATCAACCAAGTAATTTATTCACAGTCATTGTCTTACACTCACATGTGGCTCCTTTCTTCCAGAGTGGGAGAACATAGTGGACTAGCCAGACAGAAGAGAAGCAACACAGAACTTTGTTCTTAGGAAATCAGAGGGAAGATGCTCTTACGGTTTGAACACAGGAATGTGTGGAAGAAATCTTGCTATCTGTTGGCAGCTCCACTGCTGTGGGTGTGGGTGAATTTTTTAAAGGCAGGTGACTAATGTATGAATTGTTTCAGAATAAATACTGAGGTTTTCCAAGCTCTGCAACAAATGAACCCTTCATGGTGCAATACTTCCTCTCTGAGAGTCACTTTGCTTTGAGTAAGTCTCATGGTAAATTTCCATTCACTACTTGATAAAGCATAGATTTTAAATTAGGTTACTGATGTAAACATTACTGCAAATTTTTAAATGTGCTATAAAGATTTATGGGAAAAGTGAAATCTCTATTTTGCTGTACAGTATATTATACAGTATATAACACATAAAAGATCTTTTGGTATTCAAATTTCTACAAACATTACTAAAATTCTCTACCAATTTCCTGCCTTTTCTTCCTTTTTATTTTTGTCGCTTTAACATGTAAATTTTACTGTTTGTTGCTAATTTACTTTATAGCCTAGTCTTGTACGTGACAGAAATATTTCTTTTTCCATAGTCGCCCACAGGTTTCTCCTGCTAACACCAGAATATATATATGTACCTCCAAAACTTGGTATTTGGATGTTGGTTACTAGAGTACCATTCATATTTCACTTTTCTAATGAGTGCATCTATGTTAGCTAGTTCTGTCTTAATTTTACTTCACCGGCCAATTCTACTTAATGCCAGAGTGTCCTCTGCTGTACATAGCAAAAATAGCAGTATGTTACAGGTTCTTTCATTCATGATGATCAAAAGGCACTGTATAAGTGACTCTGTAGGGATCTGTGCAGTTTCTCACTTAAATTTCTCTGTCAAAAGCATTTTTGCAGAATCCTTTCTAGTTCCCCCCAAATCACTCATGCTACAGATGATTTTGTAAATAGAATTCACATTAAGACCTCCTAACACTCCCACCTCGCCCTCATCAAAGATTTATGTTTAAAGGGAAGGTTTCACTAAGAACAAATATTAGGAAAAGTGCCTAAAATCAGTCGTCTGGTACACCTTCTCTGAATGTCAGATATGAAATAGGGAGAAAACTTTATAAATTTTTAAAAAATAAAGGCTGGAAGGAATGGCTGATACCCTAGGATGCTCTGCGCTGCTTCAGAAGGACCTCAACAGGCTGGAGAGGTGGGCAGAGAGGAAACTTCTGAAATTCAACAAAGACAAGTGCAGGGTTCTGCACCTGGGGAAGAATAACACCAGGCAGTACAGGCTGGGGGCTGACCTACTGGAAAGCAGCTCTGCAGAGAAGGACCTGGGGGTCCTGGTGGACAACAAGGTGTCCATGAGCCAGCTGTGTGCTCTGGGGGCCAAGGCGGCCAGTGGTATCCTGGGGTGCATCAGTAAGAGCCAGCAGGTCGAGGGAGAGGATCCTGCCCCTCTACTCAGCCCTGGTGAGGCCACATCTGGAGTATTGTGTCCAGTTCTGGGCTCCCCAGGATAACAGAGATATGGAGCTCCTGGAGCAGGTCCAGTGGAGGGCTATGAAGATGATTAAAGGACTGGAGAGCCTCCCTTTATGAGGAAATGCTGAGAGAATTTGCGTGTTCAGCATCAAAAAGAGACAACAGAGGGGACCTCATCAATGCCTGTAAGTATCTGAAGGGATGGTGTCAAGACGATACAGTCAGGCTCTTCTCAGTGGTGCCAAGCAATAGGACAAAAGGTAAGGGGCAGAAACTGATTCACACAAGGTTCCACTTGAATATGAGGAAGAACTTTACTGTGAGGATGACTGAACATTGAAACAGGCTGCCCGGAGAGGCTGTGGAGTCTCCCTCTCTGGAGACATTCCAAATCCACTAGGACGCGTTTCTGTGTCACCTGCTCCGGGTGACCCTGCCTTGGCAGGGGGGTTGGCTTGGATGATCTCCAGAGGTCCTTTCCAACCCTAACCATCTTGTGATTCTTAACCTGCTCTGTGAAAGAAATCGGCCTTGAGGGTTTGCCTTGGGGGGGGCTTATTTGCATGTGCGTCTTTATGTTGCTTCCCAGGGCACAGTACAGACGGATGCACTGGGGATAGGACGGGACGGGATCCCATCGCGTCCCCTCCCGTTCCGTCCCAGCCAGGGCCGGCCCCCGCCAGCACCGCCCTCCCACTCGGGCTCGGCGGAAGTGAGGGCGGGGGGCGGGGCCGCGCGGCTCCCCGCGGGTCTGGGCCGCCGCCATTTTGTTGGCGCCCGGCGCTGCCGGCGGGACGGAAAGGGCCGGGAATTGCCTGGCGGCTCCTCCCCCGCCGGGCTCGAGAGGCGGGGACTGAGCGAGGCCCTGCCGGGACGGGACGGGGCGGCGGGGCTCAGCGCGGCGCAGCGATGTCGGCGTTCTCGGAGGCGGCGCTGGAGCGGAAGCTCTCGGAGCTGAGCAACTCGCAGCAGAGTGTGCAGACCCTGAGCCTGTGGCTCATCCACCACCGCAAGCACTCGGCGCTCATCGTCAGCGTGTGGGAGCGGGAGCTGCGCAAAGGTGAGGCCGGGGCCGGGTGGGCCCCGCCGGGGCGCCTCGGGGGCGGCGGATCCGGGGCAGGAGGAGGAGGCGAAGGTGGCGGCCCCCCCTGCGGTGTGTGCGGCGGCGGAAGCAGGGGGATGGCGACGGGGATGCCCGGCCTGTGGATGGCAGGGAGAGGGCGAGGGTGGGCCCCAGCGCCTGGGGAGAGTGGAGCTACTGGGGCCAGCGTTCAGCCCCAGGTCTCGGTTTTTTGATGACCGTGGGCTGGGAGGTGCTCCTCCTCCCTCTTTTTCCCTCTACTCCCCTCTCTCCTGTCTTTTCCCTCCCATTATCCCTTCCTCCCTCAGCGAGATGCCTCTGAGGAGGCTGCCCCTCGTGTTTTGCCTCCCTTTTTTTCTTGTGAAAGGAGAGAGGAAGGTGGGAAACAGGAGGGACGGGATTTGGGGGTTTTTGTTATTAATACAGGTAATTACAGGTCTTCCAAGGCGGAGCCTTTTAGGTATTGTCTTTCATCATCTCTGATGATGGTTGTTAGCTGTAATACTATTTGAATTTCTTGTCCACTCATGCCAGAAACTGTTCTTGTAGGGCAGCTGTGGATGGGAATACTCTGCAGGAAGAGCAATTTAATGTGTTCAAAGTGGTTTTTACTTCCTATTTTTGCCAGATGGCTACTACCAGTGTTAGAATAATAATAAAAATGTATGTTTCTTTAGCTATGTTAAGTGTGCAGACTTAAATGCTTTCTTTTTAACAGGAAGGAACTTGCAGCTATAGATAGTGGTTCAGGGACCGAAAGGGAGAAATGGCATGTGAAGGTTTATTTGATGTGACTGGAAAATAACTTGATTTTGAATTAATTCATTTAAGAAATTAAAACTCACTTGATAGAACTCTGCTTTGCTCTAGGAAATATTACTGTCTTCCAATAGCTTCCTTTGGAGCTTCGCTATTATGTGGATCTTTAATGGAAAAAGTAGAAGACTAGGCTTTCAAGTGGAGAGGAAAAATAGCACTAAGCCATGACAGGACTTATGAAAGAGGAACCACTGAGTTTCATGTAACATGGCTACTGTATTGGGTTTTTTTAAATACTCTTTTTGTGAGAAGTGTGATCTTTTGAACTTTAGGGCAAGAGTTGAATTCTTTTTTACCATTGCCCTAAGAAAGGCTTCCTTGATGTATTTCGTCTTATGAAATAAACACATTTTCACTATATGTTAGTTGCAAACTTGCTTTCTTGTTCCTGGAACAAATTAATGGATCTCCCATCTGTGTCTGAAACATTTCACATTTCTGGGCCTCCTAATCAAACAACTTGAATGTTTGAAGTGGTGTATGATACCAGAAAGGCATCTTAAACTAATTGAAATAGGGTCAGAGTTTTGGTTGCTCATCTTAATTAATGCGCACAATACTACTACATAATAATGCAGGATGTTAATGGTCAATCTTTAACCTTAATTTTCCTGTTGTGCTGTTTGACTAATTGGAGAAATGAAGTCTTTGATACATGGTCTATGTGTCTGAAGGTGGCATTGAGAGGCAAGGATAACCATCTTAAAAAGTCAGAGGAATACTTTGCTTTTTCTCAGCTTTCAGTGTCTGACTTCCACTTCTAAGCCTGTTTTGAGCTTTGGATGAGCATAACTGCCATAATTGGTTTTGTCTTGAGTTTGTCGAAGCTGTTGTCCAACTTTTGAACCTGGCATAGTTAATATTCAAAGGATGTATTTTAGTTTTTCATCTCTGATAACAGTACCTGAGTTTCAAAAATGTTAGCTTGCATTCACCCAATATTAACTTTTTGCTAATTGCATCACAGAATTGCTATATAGTTCCTAATCTCCACAGGCTGGGTGTAGTGATCTAAGTGGACAGCACGTGGAGGATGGGAAGGAAAACCAGTGTACTGTGGTGAAGTGAGGTGCATAAACACCACAAAGCAGAATGCTAGCAGTGAGGCTGTAAACAGAGTAAGTTTAAGGCTCCTGACTTGCCTTCCATCCAAGCTGTATGAACATGATTGCTCTCCTACTTGAGAGGAAAATTACCTCTATTTGGAGAATACGTACACAAAAATTACTGGCATTGCCAGCTGCTATTGCTAGCCAGCAGTGTACTGGCACTGAAAATTGAATCTTGCCTTTCTAAATTTTATTTCCTTTCATTGTATATCTATTGTCACCCTCATCTCCAGACCTTCCTTCCAGCTTACTCCCTTTCGGGCTTATGGAATGTGGTATAACTAACTAGGTTGAACACAATATAGTGTGATGTTACATTTTTTCTGGATGCTTTCAGTTTTGGTAAAACATCACTTGAGCCAGATGAGCTTGCATGAGCCTTTCTGAACATGTCTCTAGTGATTCATGAAAACGAGTGCTAGGATCTGAGCTCTTTTGTTCCTAAATGTTTGGTTCTGATTCTTTTATTTTTAAAATAGTTGGAGTAGAGGTGAAGAGGCAGCTTTTCAAATGCACACATAATTTACACAACATAAAGTCTTAGTGCCCTTCTGTTTACTTGGCTTAATGGATACTAGTCAGGTCTCATATTCTGGCATATCTAGAGATCATCGGTTCCATACACCTTCATGTACAGGTTTTCTTGAAAAGTTTGTACTGAGGAAAATGATCCTGCTTTGGCTAGATGTGAAATGTAACACTTGAAGTTAAATAGTTAATTACTTGGTAGTCATAAGCTTTTTCAGTAGTTAAGTAGTACTAATTAATTAACTTGTAATGTGACTACATCAGTCATTCCCAAAATGCAACTGGTGGACCCATTTAAACTATGTAATTTTGTGTATCCATAAAGGGAATAACTTACTGGGTATTTTTTTTAGACTGAGTAGTGGTATAATAACATAAAAATTTGTTGTGTAAACCTGCAGTCAGTAAGTGGCTGCTGAGAAAACCCCTAGGAACACCTTTGAATAGGCTTTTCTGAGATGGAATCTGTTGAGAATTATTTTTTGTTACTTGCAAATCAGGTATGTTCTCTTGCATGCATCTCTTGCTGCCTGGTTTCAGGATTCTCTGAAACGGTAGGGATTTTTTACTTGTTTGTATGTTTTGTTTTGAAATAAAAAATTTCGGTTCCATAATTCAAAGCATCAGCCTTCAAGGGTGAACAATAGGTGCTTGTTCAGGAGGCTCAGTGTGCAATTTGCAGTACTGGGTTAAAATTAATTCTTTTTCAAAGAAAAACAAACCCCAAACTTGCTATAAGTTTGTTATATAGGAGTTGTTATTTTAAGCTCCAGTTAGTTGTCTGTAATAATCTTTTCCTGTCATCTCATTTTCTGTTAGCTTTTCCAGGTCGAGCTCTGTCACTTGTTAGGTATTTATGTCCTAATGATATTTTAATAATCACAAAATATTCTGAGTTGGAAGGGACCCAGAAGGATCATCAAATCCAGCTCTTGGCTCTGCACAGGACGTTGTCCTGTTGTATCTTTAAACCTAGTTTCAGATTCAAGTATCTGTTTCCTCAGAACCTGACGTGGCATCTCATTGATTAGTCGGCCTCAGAAACTGATGCTGATCATCCCCCACCTCCCTTAATCACTTGCTCTCTTGTTTTGGCTGTCATCTGTCACCCCACCCGTGTCACACTGATCACTCTTCCCTGCACAGCTTATCTGGGTTAGCAACTCTAAGACAGCCACAATTGTGTAAGTACATCTGGGCTGCTACAGAGGGATGGATGTATTTTTTAGTGCTTGACTCTGACAGTTTACCTGCTCTTCCAGTTAATATGCCTTTTTTTTTTGTTTTTGTTTTGTGGTGTTGAAGTCATTCAATGGTATGAGAAGCTACTATTCTTTGCTTATTTATAGTTGTTTGTCTGCAACTTCTGCTACTGGGACATATGCTGGTGTTTGGGTCGTCACTCAGTATAGCTGTTGGCATTGATGCAATATGTTTTCCTGAAGCTGGTGGCTGTTGTGGCAGCTGCTGAAATTTGGAAGATAGAGGATTTTAGTAGGCAAATTGAGAAGGCCTAGCAACACTGAAAGCAGATTTGAAAGTTGTATTGCATTTAAATTACTCTGATACTCAAGTCAACTGCTTTGAAGCACAACTACAGCCAAAACTGATTGCAGTATATTGCCTTGCAGATGGGAAGTAGATCATAGGAAATAAGTTCCTGATTTGCAATTATTTTCTATACTATGTTGTGTAGCTTTTTCTGCCAGAAGGGATCTTTCTGTACTGATGATTGTAAGGTTATTTTACTTAATGGTGCTATAGTGTCATTGGCCCATGAGAGAGAATAAATAGATTCTGTTTTAATTAAAAGAAAGAAAACGGTGGCTTCCTGACTTTGTTGGTTAGTAGGTGTTCTTGAGGAGACCAGTAAGAATACTTAAGACAGAGGTGCTTGTGGGTGCCTTCCTGCTTATCCACGTGAATTTTCTCATCTATGTCAAAAGGTTTGGAGATCATCAAATAACAGGCAAAACTTTAGGTTAATTGGAGTAATTGAGTCAGGTTAGAGAAACCTATTTGCTACACACATGATTTAAAAAACGGCCTACAGTTAGGAGCAACAGAGTAGCAATATAAGAGTATAACGATTCAAAATAGTTATATTTGGATAGTGTAGTCCAAATATGTATTAGTGCTGTATCTCGAGACCTCATATTTTACCTGTACCTGCCTGTCTTTTACCATTCTGAATACTTAAGTGTAGCGTCTTTTTCTTGTCCTGAAACTGTCGTTGCCGTTAATTCATATCCATCTTGGCATTGTACTAGCCAGGGGAGCCAATGAAAGAAATTGGTTTGTTTCATGTGTTCAGGTAATTCAAGATACACCAAGTGCAGTGGGGAAGGTTCTGCAGAGTAATTATGTTGGAACAGTTTCCTTGGTCTGTGACCAGCTTTCTGCATCCCCTGGTAATTTGATGCTGATGGCCTTTTTCCCAGAAGTGTCTGTATACTGTGTTCTCTTTGTTATTGGCCTCCAAACTCAAAGTCGTAGTACTTGGACTACTCCAAGTACTCCAAGTGGGCAATCCCATTCCCCTCTTTGAAAACACAGCAGTTATCAAACCTTGGTAAAATTCACCAGGAGAATCAGGTGACTGTGCAATGTTGAACACTTAGTTTAAGTTTTTCTTAAAAGAAGGTTAATGAATTTTAAGTGCTCATTGTACAGTGTGCCTTTTATGGATTATGTTATCTTTAAATTGTCCTTTCTGGTGGCAGCCTCTCAAGTGGCTTTTACAGTCATGTTACAAAAAATGCTGCACTTCATCAGCTTGCGTAAAAACTCAGGTTAGCTCTCCTCAGTGTGAAGAATCAGTGATCTTGCCCTCAAGCTTCAGTGCTGCTTGACCTGAAGATGTTTGGTTGTGTAATAAAAAGCTTGAAAGCTTGTTGAGTGTTTACAGAGATGTTGTGAACTTCTCTTGCAAAGGTGTGAAACGTGCTGTGAGACAGGAAGTGTCCTAGAGATTCTAGAAGTGATGACACTCTCCTGCATGTATGTAGACTAAAGTAATTCTAAAGCTATTGAGCCAAGTCTTTATTTGAATCCATATTACATAACTTTAGTGTGCTAAATAAAATGTTTACTCCTGATAACTGTTGTGGGATTTTAATATACTGAAGCTTATTGTCTCAAAACCTCTTGTTAGATGGTATTTTCTTTCAAGGTCGGTTGATGTAGCAAAGCTGGGCTGTAGAACCTTAAAGCCTGATGTAACATTTTCAGATGGCTCAGTCAATCTATACAGTTGAAGTGGGATGTGAGTGAAATCTCTTATGCTTGGGTGTTTTTCTGTAGTTATATCTAAGATGGTAAATATCTCTTGGCTCTAGGGAAGAGGTGTAGAACAGCATGAAACTAATGGGCATGTTACTAGCAATCTTCATGAGAGCTCAATTTCAAATCAGGAGGTAAACCTGGAGAAGACAAATATAGGTGATTATGGTGCCTTTGATTACCAGAGCTAACCTCAGTGAAAATGGCCATCTTATTGTCTTTCAAGGTAAAATACTAGTTTCTTGCACTAAAATGGTGTCTTATCAGTGTTAAGAGCTCTCTAAGTGTTATGGACTAAAGCATATAATGTCAGGGCATCTATACTGAACTGGCAAAGAACCAGGCATACTAGGTATGCTTTCCTAAGAAGCATGGCTTGCCAAAAACTAAGACTTAATAATGTAGTTTCCACTTAGATACCTCAGTATGCCAATTGTAGGTGAAATATCATTAATATCTGAAGGATATTCATTGGCATTTAAACATGTCAGGTACATTTTTCGGACAGACATAGTTTCATTTGCAAGATGCAGATCCCACTTAGTGTCATTGTGGATGCTTTATAATCAGAATAATATGCTTAATATGGTCTTACACCAACCAGCACTGTTGAAATGTTAAAATATTTCAGAATACAGTGCTTCAGGGAGCTACTTTGGTGGCTAAACGGTAAATCTAACTGAAACAAGCAGAGGAGTTATGTGAACGCTGCACAAATCTTCTGAAAAGATGACTCAGTCCATTGTGGATGATTTCTTAGAAGTTTTATGTTAACTCACTGTACTGTTAGTGTACCAGAGGTACTGTGGGCTGACCGCTTATAACGCTGTACACTCTGGCAGGATGTGCCTTACAGATCCTTCTTCAACCTAAGTTCTTATGTTTTTTTCCCTTCATTTTCTTCTCACAGTAGGAATGCTTTTACTAATAGCTTTGCCATGTGTTGAGGACACTTAAAATAATCCATTTGATCCATTTTGTTGTTCTGAGATTTATCAAAGCCCTGGACTGCAAAGTTCGTGTTACTACGAGTGAAGAGAGATGCTTTTAACATAATTTTTTTCCAGAACAGATCTATATGGTCCTGAATTCAGTTTTGTATTTCAGACTTCAATAGTTAATTTACAGTCATAGTAGAATGCTTTTCATCTCAAATTTGTCAGCTTCAGTTGCCAGAGGTTACGTTGTACTTTAGTCTCCTGGGTAAGGCAGGTTGCTAGTAGATCAGTATGTAAGTCTTGAAGATTTGTGAAATGAAAGGAAACCATTCTCAAGACTAGGCATAATTTTCAGCATTGGAATTTTGTGCACCACATTCTTACAGCAAGAGGGATTCAATTTTATTTCACAATTGTCTTTGTGAACATAAGGGTACAGTATTGATTGAACTTTTAACCAAAGCCACAGTTAGCTTAATAGTGGGTTTAGGATTTTTGTTCATTGTATGCAGCTTTGTTTATGTTGAATTGTAATAGCAAGCTGAAAAGGTAGTACTAGGTGAAATAAGCCTGAAAGTGAGTTTCTGGGTTTTCAAAGGCTTTTCCAAACCTGGTACATGGATGTCTTTACTGCAGTGAATAGATCAAGTCTAGGTTTTGTGAGAATCAACACTACCTGACTTCGTGGCACTGTGCATGCACCTCCTGTCTTTGCCAGCCCAATTGATTTGGCTTATGTTGGAAAGATAAGATTTGTCACAAATTGGTTACATCACTGAGCATTAAAACATGACTTTTTTTCTGTAAAATGGATGGACAAGGACCTATCTTGCATGCAGTTCCAGAGGATATAGTATGGGGAGTGGCCTGCTTCATTAGATTTTGAGTCATAATTCTGGACTTATTTAAGAAATGGGGAGGAGTGCAGGCTCATCTTTGGTAAGTGCTCGTTACTTTTTGGTATGCCTGTGAGACAATATGTGTTTTCTAAGATTCTCTCTTTGAATAATTCAAAACTTTCTATGTGTCAGAACTTTGCTTTACCTGAAACCTAGGTAGGAGATGTGTTGTTGTATCATCAGTCAGGTTTTAATATAGAAATTGAGTAGCATAAGTTTAGAAAATCTAAATTTTAGATTAGCCAGATTTTGTCACAAATTTATTTCCTATAGTGACTTCAGTGTTTGGAGTAGACTTTTAATAGATCCACCTTGTGTCCAGCACTTCCAAGCTAATTCTTTTTTTTTGCCACTCTTTAGTTTGCCTTGATTGTAAGAGATAGATGTGTTTTTATGTTTAACAGAGGGTTTTTCCCCCGCCCCCACTTAGTCCAGAACTCTCAACTTGTTAGATATGTCTGTCTAAGAGGATGGGAAAAATTCAGTACTTCAAGGAGAAATCCCTCAGAAGAGTCTTTCCGTAGTGCAAAATTTATTCTCAAAAACATTTCCCTGGAGTGAAAGCATATCAACAATGAATTTTCTCTTTGTATGTGAGGGTGATGGTTCTGCATTTTTGAGAGGTTGGAATAGAAATTAACAAAATCAAATCATATTGTGGACTAAGCATGAATTATAGGAAATCCTAGAATGGCTTTCTTACAGTTGAGAGGGCAGAAAACCCTTGTCTTTCAAAAGAAACCTCTTTTTAAAATCAAAGTGTACATACTGAGACTATGTAGTGGTAATGATATTCTGGTGTTAACCAAGAATAGAAGTGTTACAATAAGTTATAGACTTGTAGACTACTGAAGATTAGATGAAGTATGATTGTAAATGAAAACACCCAGGTAGGAACACTTAAAAAACATGGAATACATTTTCAAAAGCAACTTGTAAATTGCAAGCTTGTAATCTATTGCACATTAATGGAGAGGAGGTAGAATACTTAAGATACTTGGAGAAGGGATACTCCAAGGAGCCTGAAAGTGGTTTCTGAATGTTTTCTTGATGTTACAGCTACCAGCATGTGAGTATTTAAACAATTAGGAGATGGGGGAGGAAAGTATCACAGTGATAATAAGGAGACTGACTAGGGGTTGACCAGTTTGCTCAAATGCGAAAATGAGAAGTGGGTATGTAAGACTGATGAAATTCAGACTGAAAAGGAGGAGGTTCTTCACAGGAATGAATGACTGTGGATCTGTGAAGTGACTTGTGAGAGGACTTCATGAGTGTAAGAAATTTATGCAGGCTCAAAGGAAAGCTGAAGAAATCCTTGAGGGCTACCTAACAGACAAATCTCATAAGACTCAGGAAAACACCTGAGAATAGTTGGGGTCTGAAGGACACTTTGGAATATCTGGGGTTTTCCCTGTTTGTTTTCAAAGATGATGCTAAAGGGAAGTTTTCGTACTATGAAGGAAGAGGAATTTGTACAAAGAGAGCAGAAGAGAGAGAAAACCCAATAGGTGACTGTAGTCTTTTCACATGAAAATGCTGTAAATGTGAAATGATTGTAAGCAGTAATGAAAACAGAAAAAAAAGTCTTTTATTTCAGAGTGGGGGAGGTCCGGAGATGGGTGTTTGTATTTGGTATAAATGTGGATAAGTAGGTATTAGTTAAAGGAAATAAAATTTCTAATTATTCTTTATTATTCTTTTTATTAGCAAAACCAAATAGGAAGCTGACATTCCTGTACTTGGCCAATGATGTCATACAGAACAGCAAAAGAAAAGGACCAGAATTTACAAAAGACTTTGCTCCAGTAATAGTGGAGGCTTTTAAGCATGTTTCAAGGTACGGTAAACTTGTATGTGCAGTGTCCTTCTTCATACTGTGTTTGAGGGGGATTTAGAGAAATCCTCAGTTGGTCTCTTCTGGCCCAGCTAGTCTTTGTGTGCTATTTCTCTACTTGAGGTCTTGTTAATTTAATTTATTCAGTGTTCTTTTGATCTTGGAGAGTCTTAATTCTGTTGGATGAAGTTTCATAGTAAATTCGTCAGCATTCAGTCCGTTCTGCTTTGGAAAGCTGTCAGCTATTCCTGAAACTAAGACTTGCTTTCAGTCTGTGTATGTGTGCTGCAACAGTTTGATATTTTTCATTGCTGGTGTTTCATGATTTGTTTTTCCCCAGCAGCCATTAATCTCATCGCATGAGGAAGCTAGAGTCTTGATACAGGATTATTTTCACAATGATACACAGCTGTTGAAGCAACACAAACCTATTTGCAGTATTTGCATAATAGGGTTACAGACCTACAGATTTATGGGTTGAGCAAGAAAACAGAGTTGGGCATTGGTCCTGTTTTATTTATGTGCTTGCTAAGACACCATGAACTGGCATTTGCTTTTCTTTCTTTAAAATGTGATTTTGTTATTTTCTGAGATTATTTGACTTCTGATGCTTGGATATTGCTAAGGTATATGAAGGTTCTTCTGTGAAAAATAATCATATAGCAGCACTGTACTTCTACCTAGTGCTGATACTTGCTTTTTTCCCCTGTAACAGTGAGTCTGATGAGAGTTGTAAGAAACACCTTGGCCGAGTGCTGTCTATCTGGGAAGAAAGGTCTGTTTATGAAAATGATGTATTAGAACAACTTAGGCAAGCTTTGTGTAAGTATTTTGTGTGCGTATCAAGGTTCAGTCTCTTCTTTGAAATACTCTTTCCCTGACTGCTCTGTTTTCATTTAGATGGAGACAGAAAGGGGAGGAAGCGCACGTATGAACAGATAAAAGTTGATGAAAATAACTGTTCACCTCGAAGTTCTCCCACTGACCCTCCTCAGGTAAAAACATGTTTATAAAATTCTGTATTTACATATGATTTCATGCAGAATTTTTCAGTTACTCCTGTTTTTGAATGATCTCTGTTTTTCTTTTTAATGAGGTACTGTTTCTGTGCAAAAACTTTTCACAGTATTTCAGGTTACATGTATGTTGTAACTTTAGTCATTTGACACTAAACCTGAATGTATTAACTGTATGTCCAGCTTTGCTCACATCAGGATTTCAGCAGTAGTTTCTACAGTGTTTTGGGTTCTCATTCAGTTTCCGCGGCAGTAATGAGTAACCCATGTGTTAGAGTAAGATTGTTATGGATTTATCAGTAAAATATTTCTCAGAGTTGCAATCATGATGGTTGGGAAAAATTGTCTACCTTGCACTGTTATAGCTTTCCTAATTTGTGCGGGTTTTTTATTATGGTATTGCCCTATCTCAAAAGGCTTTTTGTTATGGTCAGGAATGACTGTCCTCAAATAATCACATGAGCTCTACTTTCAAAACAAGCACACTGATCTAGTCTGATGCAATAGTGAAGCAAAATGACACAAAAGATAATGTTAAAAATCTATAGTAAAATGAAAGGTATTGTAAAATATTCACTGTCAAAAATAAAAGATGTATAAGTAATCCTTATATACCAAGAATTTAAATGAAAAAAATCTGTTGGAGGAAGGTGACCTTTAAAACTGGGAACGCTGCAATATTGTCCTGAGAATGAAAGGTTTGGTTTTGTTTTCCATCTAAAAGCTGATGCTGCAAACGCTGTTGAAATTGCCATCAAATCAATTCCAAAGCTTATTGTAAGATACTGTTTTGTTCTAGGATCTGTTTACTTAAAGTAGTTTTCCATCTTGCATGCTTTTTTCAGACCACAGATCTCATAAGAGCATTACAAGAACTAGAAAATGCTGCCTCTGGGGATGCAGCAGTTCATCAGAGAATAGCCTCGCTGCCTATAGAGGTCCAAGATGTGTCCCTGTTAGACAGAATAACAGGTGAGGGTTGGGGACCCAGTAACCAAAATGCTGTTCTGAGAACCTAACGATGTGTGATGAAATCACGCTTTACTTGTTTTTCTCTGCTTGCTTTTTAGATAAGGAATCTGGAGAGCAGCTTTCCAAAATGGTAGATGATGCATGTATGTTGCTGGCGGATTACAATGGCAGGTTGGCTGCTGAAATAGATGATAGAAAACAGCTGACTCGAATGTTATCAGACTTTCTCCGATGTCAAAAAGAATTCCTTGCAGAGAAAGAACATAAGCTGGAAGTGCGTAATGTTTTGTTTTAGTCCATTCTTCACTAAAGCTTGTTCTTGCAAATGTTTTTAGTTGACCTAAAAAACTGTTATCTCCAAAGATAAATATTTAATTGCCACTCTTACATCTTTGCTTCCAGCACATTATTAACATCTTGTTTGATTCCAGTGTTCTAAACCTGTTAAACCAGCTCTTTGGTTTTTTAGCTATTCAGTCTTTGTTAAGTCTGTACAGACTTAGTTTTAGTAGTGCAGATAAAAACTCTTACCCTGAGTGTTACAAATGTAATTTCTCACAATTTTTTTTCATGCTTCTTTCATTCATTGTAAGTCTTAGTTATGTATTTGCTAAAGGATAAGAATTTAATCATTGGTTTCAGCACAACTTTTTAACCAGACTCAAGCATCCATTGAACGTAGTAAAATGTAGTTTTAGCCTCTACAGCCTCTAATACAGATGGTTAGCAGCACTAGCACCATTAGGACCAGACAGATCATAATAAAAGAAGGATGCAGAGTCAGCAGCTCATTATGAGCATGATCCCCTAAGTTATTCTATTCTTTGCTATTCCCAGTCATCTGTTTTCCTTTCCTACCATGGAATACTGTAAAGCCTCCTGTTGAACATCCCACATATTTAGAATATGTCCATAATTTTATGTCAATTGCTTACCAGGGCTAACTTGAGTACTACAGTAATAGGACTGAAGCTGTATCATTTTTCAAGAGGAGATATCTAAACAATTGCAGTGCCCTGTAACTGTAGCATATGCATATATGGTGCCCAAATTAATTACTCTTGAGGTTTCATCATACAGGCCTGTCAGGAACATTTTCTTTGCTTAATGGGGTTTTTTTTACCTTTTTATAACTTGAGTTCAGATTTTGTATTGCCTTTGTTCAGGAAAATGCTGTTCACAATGTATTTGAAGTCATCATTCAGATCAGTTGTATCATTCCCACTCTTATTTCCTGACTTACTTACTTTCCTCTATGCCTCACAGAAAAGCAATTGATGAAGGTTCTTCCTGTCAACTTTACTGTGTGTGTTTATCCTGTGGGAAGAATATCAACCAACTTCATGTAAGATAGGTGGTATCACAGTAGTTCTTTTTGCAATAGCAACTGACCCAACTGGATAATGGAACCTGGAAGATTAAAGAACAGGAAGCCTTAAGCTTTTCATCACATGCCCTACCTCCCCTCTGACTGTGTGTAGTGGGTTTGAAGGACAAATACCCAATTTCAGTGAAGGACTGGTTGTCTAGAGACACTGACTTGTTTTTGTAGCTCAGTACCAGCAATTATTCCCTATTTAGGTATAGTAGACCACTGGGATAGTGAGTTGCTCAAAAGGCAGTGACTTGGTGTTTCAGACAGATTTATAGTTCTGTGAAAACAAGAGAGCTCAATTAAAAAGAAATCACAAATGGTAGTGCAGCTGTGAGCAGATTCTGCCCTTGTTCGTTGTTTTCATCAAATATAAACCAGTTTAATTTCCCAGTATTACTAGATCAGAGAATTCATAATTTTAAGAGACAGGAGTTTCGTATTACTGGGCTGTCATAGTCCTTAAAACCAAGTTTCTTGGCTGAATTATTTAAACTGCTAAAGAATTGCATTCTAATACAGCACAGTTCCTTTTTTGGACTAGTTCGAGGTCTTTCTTTAAAAAGTGGGAGACGCTCTTCAGTAGCTGTAGCAGTCTGTTTTAAACAGATGAAGTCCTGGGATGTTGAAGGATACCGTAAGAATGTTTTTAGGCTGATCAGTGTGGTATACATGTGAATTACTAATAAAGAACTGTGAGCCGAGATGGTGTCAACCCAGGTTACTAATAAAGGCTGATGAGCCAAGAGATCGTTGAGAACAACAACCTTACAATGAAGTTTCTAAGCTAGTGTTAAGATAAATGAAGTGACCTCATGCTCACTACCATTAGTGCTTTTTGGTTTGAGAAGTGGAGGCTGATAAACATTCTGATGTTTTGAAATGTTAAGATCAGGATGTTTTCATGATGCTGTCTGCAGAGCCTCCTGACTTAGCTCCTGTGTTTTGTTTTTAGTTCCTAAGAAATGGAGATGAAGCAAGGACTCTGTCTTTACTGTCTTGGGAAATTCCATACCTTAAATTGAGCCTTGCTTCTTGGCTTCACATTTGAAATAGCACTGGGAAAGGGGCCTGTCACCTAATTCTTTGAGAATGTATTTCCCTGAACTGTGTTCCTAGGTTTCGCTGCTCAAGTGTGATTTCTGATGAAATTAATTTGTTCTAGACAAGATTGTTTCTTTTGTTAGACTTCTGGCTATTGACATTTTTCTTATTATAACATGGTCTCTGGGTCGTAACATATCAAGTCTTCATTTCTTCCTGAATTAGTATCACCAATCTGTGAGTATAATGCTGAGACCCTAGCTTACTGATTTGTTAAACACCCAGGTATGGCAAGAAACAAGTGGATGTATTCTTGGTTGAATCTAGAAATGTTACTTGCTGTTGACCTGGTTTAACAGCAATAGAATTTGAATTTCCAGAGAATTCTCATTAGCTTTCAACTTTAGATGGGACCATTAGACCTAAATTTGCAGATCTTTTATCTTCTAAAGACAATTTACAGGTAAGTAATTTTGAATAACCAATCTTTCTATGAGTAGTTTTTTTAAGAATGAGAGTTTCTCTAATTGTTATTTCTGAAACAGAAGCGCATAATTCACATAAAAATCAAGGTAATGTATGCATTAAATCTTGAAAGGAGATTTTGGTAACAAATAAATAATACCATGTCTGCATCAAAAGCTAACAGTACTGCTTAGTAGGTGACTTTCCTAAGTATGTTTGGGGTAAGTAGTGTCATTTTTAACTCTTAAATTGTTTTCTTTAACGTCTTTCTAGCTTCTGTTGCAGGTGGTGGACATGGACCTATCTTCTAGTGATGTCACCATCCATTAGTACACACATCCTGCTAAAAATAAATTTAAGAATCAAAATCTTGTATTGTCTGTTGTTTTTGAAAACTTGAAGAGGAGGATTTCTGTAACTAGTCATACCAAACCTCTGTTATTTTCATCTATATTCTCACAAACATTACTGAGTTTATGCCTGAGATGGATAAATATTTATCCAGTGTCATTCCTTTTTCTTGAAGACTAAATCTTTCACGTGATTGTTCTTAAAACTCCCAGGTCCTTTTGATAAAATCATTTGAAATTTGCAATGGAGAAGTTTGGGGGTCACTTGCATTGAAGCTGCCATTACCAAAAGGAGAGAACTGTGAAAACAAGACTTTTTCAGACTTTCACTTACACTTTAGCTATTGGGTTTACATGATCAGAAATGAGAAGTGACGAATGTAGGGCTTGTCCTTCACAAGCACAATAAAAAACTTTATTAGGTAGCAGAGAATGTGTGTTTTATAATTGCACTTATGCCGTTTTGGAACCCCCCTCAAATTTCACATCATCCTAAAGAGTATTTTCTCTTCACTTCTGTAAGTTTTAGATTAGTATAAATATTTAAGGTTCAGAGTACTGTAGCTCTGTCTAGGATTTCTAGCTAGATATGATTCTGTAGATTAGAGAAAATGGAAATTTTTGCAGAAATAATTTTATGGAACCATTTCTTTATGAAAACTTTGAGTGCTAATACCATTTCAAGTTTTCTGCTGTTTGGATTGACTGTTCCCACTTTGCTTCCTTTTTGTATACCCATCCTAACTCCCTGCCCATCCCCTACTTTTTGAACAGAATTGTTGGTTGGTCTCTTGGTCTCACTGAAGGCTGATAAAAAGAGCTTTTTATGTTATACAGGAACAGAGAATTGGGTATACATAAATTGATACCCAGGTGTGTTCATGTCCTTTTGATAAGACTGTCCTGTACACATTCTGAGGTTAACATGGCCTTAAAAATGAAATGAACGAGAGAAGTATTTGATTTACTGTTCTCTCATGTTGCTTTGCTTTTGCCTCTTCCACAGGTTGATTACAGAGTAAATAGTCTCTTACTACATTTCAAATAAAGGATCTGATAGTCTGAAATCTTACATGACTTATTAGCAAGTGTGAGTAGGGGATCACGCAACCTTTTTCTAGAAAAACAAGACAGCCTCTCACATTCATTTTGACATTACGGAAAAATGAAGCATTGCTACACTTAGTGTATACTGGATGACCCAGTTTCTCACATACTGTTTCTCTCAACTTACCACTTAAAATTGGGGAATATGTTGTCACTAGATCCAAATTTTTATGAAGGAAATACTACTCTGGGAAGTAAAACACTACTGTGTTTTAGCAGCTTGCATTTAAATAAGACACTTTTATTGATGATGTCACTGTCTTGCATTCCTGATTTTCTACAGCTATATAGACAATATTCATATTCTTACACTCACACATTGGTTATAAGTGTGGTTTCTTGGCATGTTGAGAGAATACTATATGTTCAGTACACTTCTATTATATGATTGAGCTTTATGGCTCAGTATAGTTTGACTTGTCTTCCTGAAGGTTTTGTCATGGATTTTTAAAGGTAAACAGCAAAAAGTTATTCACCCTTGTCTGTAGCTCTGGACTCAAAGGCCTTTTTTTTTTTTTCCTGCTCGGTTCACAATTAATGGTTCCAAGTGTAGGCAAAAATGTTAAGTAAACAGTTCAGGGATGGTAGTGGTATAACAGGCCTCTTGTCCTTAGGTTTTGTTTCACAGTACAAGACTGGATTGGTACTATTGTCTGCTGTTGCCCTCCAGCATGGCTTTAATGTAATCACAGGGTGTAGTGCTTTCCTTGCTATTTTTTTTTCTTTTTACCACTTGTACTTCACTAGAACCTTTGTAAGTCAGCTCTTTTCGTTCAGTGACAGATTACTTAGGGTAATATATTCCATCATGCTTCCTACTTTTCAAGTTCACTGCAAATAATTCATTTCTTCATAACCTTGCAGCTGAGCAGGTAAAGTGTTCTGCTGAGCTTTGGTTGAAGTCAAAAATTGATTTGTAGCATGAGTCCTACACTG